GTACAATCTGTTGAACTTTGACTTCTAAAGACTAAATCAAAGGTTTAAATCATGATATTTCATCAAAATCACTTTATTTGACTTGTCTCATAAAACGAAATGGTCAAAAATAAACAGGATAGCTGTTTAGCAATAGGAGAGCTGAATAAAAGGACCACATTAACCCCCTGAACTCCCCTAAAAAAACCCAGCAGTGATTTCAGAAGGCACCGTGTTTCACTAAAATCACTGAAATTACAGCATTTATCAGAACCAGAAACTGAAATTTCCCACGGCGCTTATTCTGTCTGAAAACTTCTTCTGAAAATCGAAGGTTCCAGTCGTGATATCTCATCATTTTACTTTCATGTAAAAAGTCGCTAAAAATAATTGGTTTACTCGAATTAGATTCTATAAAAACTAAAAAAATCTGTACAACTGAGCAGAACTGTGAAGCCATTACTGACTCAACTTCAACCAACAGTTAGGTGACAAAAATTCAAGGACTTTTCAGCCGAACTGCAGGCTGCAATGGGTACGAATATGAATACGAATACATTTTGACATTTCACAGACTACGTGATAAATCAAGTAAATAATAGGCAGTCTAACTGATAATGAAAATAATCATTAATTACAGCTCTTATTTGAGATTCATTCCAATCTGTTTTTCTTGACTCCATCAATGTCTTGCTCGCCATATTTCCTTTTGTTTATTTTCCTTCTCTTGGGCACTTGGAAAATGTTATTTAAACATTTCTTATTATTTAAATTTAAATTTAAAATTTCTAATTATTTTTGTTAAATTAACAAGCAAAGAAATATTTGTTTTCTCTCTTTTAAAAAAATATCATTATTATAATTCAAGTTGATTCCAGGTTTTTACATTCTTTTGTCAAATAAAAATGCAAAAGAAATTAGCTTCAATTTTGTTTTTTTTTTAATGATTTACAACATTATAAGTTGGTTAAGCGGCACAGCAGACATTTCTTAGTTCCCTCTCCTTCTAGTTATGGCTGTGCTGTTAATGAATATTAATGAGGTTTGGGATTTAAATCAGAAAACTACGGTCTGCAGGCTCACTGCAGGAAAATGCAAAATGTAAGTTTTACTCCAAAATGAGTAAATAAATCACTTAAACAACATGCTAATTGCATTTTCTATAAATATATTTTTCTAAAATAAATCACCACAGACATTAGTTTTCTTTTTTTTCCCTTGTCTGTTTTTTTTTTTTTTTTTTTTTAAATAATTTCCGATTTATGCTTCTCCGGTTCTCTCTCCTTCTAGCTGGTTGTTCTATAAAAAAACAAACAAAAAAAACAGACGGCAGTTGAAGGAAGTATGAAAAATGGCAAGAAGAAAGCAGTGTGGGAGCGTCCCAGCACCTTGTAAAGCTCTCACTCCCACCAAAAATCGCTTTTTTCAGACTATTTGTGTCCGACTGGCTGCACATAAACCGCTTGGAAACTTGAAAACCTCCAAAATAAATAGAGGGCGGATAAAAAAAAAAAAAAAAACAAAAGTAGAAATTTGCGTCAATAGGAAGTAGCGGAGGAGAGAGAACAGAGGGTTTAAATGGAAGATGGAGAAGAGAGGAGGACGATGCTGAGGCTGATTCTGTCCTTTAGGTGCTTGTCTGTCTGCATGTCTGTCCGTCTGTCTGTCTGTCTGTCTGTCTGTCTGTGTGTCTGTCTGTAGGTCTGTCTGTCTGCGGGAGGATTAATGGATAAATAGCAGCATGAATGCAAAGCCATTACTGGTTCTTCTCTTTGACTGCTGTGAAAATGGCTTTAATGCACTGTTGAACAACTTGTTTGAAAACACTAAACACCATTTAAGAGTTTTAGCTCCAACCGAATCCATTATAATGTTAATAAGCAAGGTCGCCTAATTAAAACGGATATCAAAGCAGAGCTGCAAAAAGCACTAAATAAACCAGTCAGAACTGTAAAGAGAACTCAGAGACGGCCGCTCGAATGGGAAATTATTGATGAGCCACTTTACAACGGCAGAAGATCTGCTGATGTTTTTTTTAAATGCAAAGGAAATTAAACTTCTGCTGAGTTCAGCTACAGACTGGACATAAAGATGGACGCATCCCCCACGACGTCACTCGTTGGTTTGCGTGCTACCATTTAAAAGAGTTGAGTTTGGAGTTGTTTTTGTTCTTTTAACTGATGAGCGAGTGGTGGATCTGACTGACAACTAAAGAATATGTTTGCCCATTCGGTACCAACTTGTCAATCACACGGTAGCCCCACCCCTAAACCATCACCTGCTCTTTGTGTAACTGTCAGAGTATATAGTACACCTGAATGAGATTTAGTAAATCCCAATGCTTAGTATGTCAATTCAATATCAATTGAATTTCCCTTCTGGGATAAATAAAGTATTTTTCATTTCATTCAAATACAGTGTGCCAAAAATGACCAGATGTTTTTTGTTTTTTTTTTTATCTTTAGAGTTTTATTCCTTTGGCAAAAGACATTTTAGGCCCCGGGTACACGTAGACAAAATGGTGACGTTTCAATGCGTTTAGTTGACACGTAAACGAAGCTACAATTCACTGAAAACTATCTGGAAACTCTGGCCACAGTGGAGATTTGGAAAAACTCCGTCTTTACGTTTGCGTGTAGACAGGAGGAGACGGAGTTTGACGTCACAGAAAGCGGCATCATCAGCATCATATGTGTGTGACTATGTTTACAGTTTGGCTGCTGTGATAGAAATGGATGCTGTTAAAAACAGCGCCAATACGTCCACATACTTGGACCGACATGTTTCCTTGTGGATATTTTCCAGTATTTTACTTGTTTTGTACTCTAACAACACATTTAGGAGTAGCTCCACTTCTCTGTCAATACAAACAAACGAACCTCGCGCCTTTATCGTTGAAGGACGTAATTCGCACCATTCGTTCTTGTGTTTTTCCAGGATTCTGATTGGCTAGCATGGCTTTGTGCTTCTCGTTACACTGCCCCCTATAGGTGTGGTGAGCTCATAGCAGCTCTGAAAGACCTGTTTATGCAGGTTTGAGTAAACAAAGATTTTTTTGGAAACAATCTGGTGTGAACAATGTTGTTTTTGAAAACATTTGAGGAGTTTGTTCAGCCATGTGAGTGAATCGTAAATAGTTTTTGTTTCTTTGCTGGTGCGATGATGTGCAGTTTCCGTTTGAAATAAAGCAATGAAAAACGTGCTGATGAGGTCGATCTGTTCAGGTTGTGGTGGTTTGAGTTAACGCTGCTTGCTGCTTGTGAAAAAAGGAGAAA